TAAAATTTATGATTTTTTTGTGTCGAAAGGTTTGGCATGTTTGTTGGCTGGAGATCAGTTTGCTGTTGGAGGTGGTCGTGAGAGGATTTTGTTTGGTTGCGGCAGACAGTTGCTATAGAGGCGTGATCAGTTGCAGCATCCTTGCCCTGTCAACCACACGACATGAAAAGAAATCGAGGGGCAACACATGTACGTTTCATGCAAGTTTGATGAATGTGAGGTAGAAAAGAACGCAAGAGACGGGAGGGTGACTATACTGTTCATTACAGCAAGGCATCAACATCGGCCTTGTTCCAGGCCCCTCCAATGTGCTACACAAAGATTGTTACGACAACGATCCCGTTGTAACAGGACTGCACTGCAAACCTCATGTTGCAGACGACGTCCAAAAAGTCCATTTGCTGACCCAGACGCTCCGGACGCTCCAGACGCTCCAGACCGGCATATTTCCCGATCACTTGGGGCGGTATTTGACGGTCGACGATGGGATGTTCGATCAGAGTGCACGTTTGAGCTGGAATGATTTTCGGTGTCATGTAGAGCTAGCCCCGTTGGCTAGATCAGCAATGCTAAGTTGACTGAACAGCGCAGAGCAGTGCGATGTCCTACCAAGAGCAATGTGATTCCACGGCTCCTCGCAGGACTTACTTGAGGAGGAGACATCCCAACCAATGAGTTTTTGTCCGGCTTTGCTGCAATTGCTTGGGGCCCGCGCCTAGAACCCCTGCTTCCCAAGTAAACTCAGCGCGATGGGGACATGACCACTCCCTAATTGCAATGGCCTCCAACCTTATAATTAGCGATCGATGTGCCTCCTTCTTTGTAGAATCAGTGGGCCCAGATCAGGGAAGATTATCCCGCGTCACATGGAGTTCGTCTCACAGGACATCAGAGAACGTGACTCAAGGCAAACGTTTCAAACCATATACCCTCCCAAAACAAGGCCAATGAACACCTCAAAACATGTGACAAAAGAAATATGTGGGGTCTTTACTGGACGGGTGGGTATAAACACACCAATCTTTTGCCTTGCCGTGTCTTGAAGGGCTGCCTCGGAACAACGGGGGCGCCGGGCTCTAAGGCCATCGACGGTTGGGCACAAGAGCTTTGGCTCCACGTGAGCGTTGGCGCCGTTGGCGTCGATGCCCTTGGTCCTTGGGACGCACCGAAGGCGGAGGACGTGACCGTCGCCTGGGAACCTAGACGTCGATGCGGTGGATGCGGTGGATGCAGCAAACCACAGGTGCGTGGTGCTGAAAGAAGGTGCCAGGTGTCGGGGCAAAGAGAACTCCCAAAAAATAACGTGCAGATCTAAGTAGCTTATTAACCTTTAGATACTTAATATATATATATATGTATATCGTATCTAATTATGCACCAGCCCCGATCTTATCCTGTTTGAGGGACTGTACAGTTGCGCCGATTTGGATGCTTTGTACTCCCGCAGCAAGATAGTTGGCACGTACTTCTGGACTCATTGCGAAGAGGGTGGTTGAGTGCTTTACCAAAAAAGAAATCACAGCCAAGTCAGCAATGTGCGTCGTCTTGCTTCACCACACGTGTCGCCCGGCCTGTCGCCCTTCACCCCTTTGTTGTTCTCCGTCCAGACTGGACCATCAGACTCAACGACCAACGTGATTCGTTACGCAAAGAATGGAGATGCAATAGTTGGCAGGTATATATAAGTGAGCACAAACGGAGTGAAATCTGATGAGGGCCGCATAATTCATGAACAAATCGGGTTCAGCGTAGGAACACATGAGACACATACTGCATGGAACACCAGATTTAGAGTTGTGAAGCCCATACTTATTTTCTCTTTTGAAGGAGACATATTGGGAACTAGTGAAAATAGGCAGCAAACAACTGGCAGATAACATAGAGAAAGAAGACACAACCATCACGAGTAGAAGTCACATGCTATTTGCATCCTACTGTTCAATTTGGACTGGTGCTATTTGTGTTTACTGTACCATGTTTCCCACGTGTCCAACAGTGATGCATTCGACGACCACAGACGAACAGAGGAACAGACGAACAGCGTTGCTGCGAGTATGTCCGACCCGATATAATTGCCATTGCCACGGGTCGGTATGGTTTTCGACTCTCCTCTTCTGGTGATTTGCAACCGGAAAACACATCAGCACGGCTGAAGAGCACAGCGCCTTTTGCTGTTCAGGGGCTTGCAGAGGTGGAAAGCCCGTGTTATAATGGTTTTTCACCCACCCACACGTAGCAGAATGATGAAGCGACAATTTTTTGAGAGTCTGTGTTTTGCACCAGCGAATATGATCAAAGGGATTGGGAATGTAGACCTTCGCTTGGTCAATTTCTGAAGGGGTCATATTCCCATCATTGCACTTGATTGCACACATCCCCTTGCCAAATCTCCACATTGGAAAAGGGAGGAAACCTTACCAAGACCAGCTCTTAAGTGAGAGCTTGACCGGAGACCACATCAGGTTGCACGCTGTTCGCAGGTTGCTTGACCGGATGCGCGATGTACGCGCTCCATGGCCACCGTTCACGGCTCTGTGAGCGTTCCTTTTCCCTCTCGCGAGATGCGTTCCGTGTCGTGCGAGAGTTTGGAGTCTGTTATGCTGATACAAAATCTCAGGCTTAGATCACACATCAAGGGAGCTGACCACAACCTGTGTTCCGGAATGTCTGAGACACGCTGGCGCCGCGGTCGCACGCAGACGCTCTTGGATCGTCTCTTGCTGGCCTATTTGGGTAACGCAGATTCAGATGTCAGCATGACAATGGAACAACATCGCTTCACCGCGTTCCATGTTTGGATTTGGGAGAATCAGAAACAAGGGGTCTGGCCATAGTTCGGCAGGCTTATTCAGGATGGATGAGTATGAACAGATTTACCATCCCTCCAAAGCACCACCCTCCCAGATCAAGAACCTCACGTCACCACTGCTTTCCTTGCACCCCCGCCATTTCTTGGGAGCTGCAGGCTACCAGGTTCCATGCGGCAAATAGGACCCATATTCAGGTGGCTTAGTGGTGTAGAAGTCATTGCCTGGACAAAGCTATTGGGGCGCAGGATCGGACATTCGCAAAAAACAATCCCTTTCCCACTGTGCGGTTCTGGCATTCGATAGAGCAGGCTGAGTCTGAAGAGTGCTGTCTCAAAACTGTCCTGCGGCGCCCAACAAACTTTCTCCGCTTCACATCCTTTCAACCGAAGTGTTCAAGGTCCTGCAGCAAGAGACGATCCAAGAGCGTCTGCGTGCGACCGCGGCGCCAGCGTGTCTCAGACATTCCGGAACACAGGTTGTGGTCAGCTCCCTTGATGTGTGATCTAAGCCTGAGATTTTGTATCAGCATCCCAGACTCCAAACTCTCGCACGACATGTTCAGGCAATGAGATGCTGTAATTGAAGCGGGGCTTGACTGGCTGTGGGACACTTCAGTGTACAGCAGCAGGGGCAAGGAACCTTCAATGGCTGCTTTACTCCCGGGCCTTCCGACGTGGCGCTATGTAGTTTTGCGGAGCTTAGCAAGCAAGTCAATAGTGACAGGCTTTGGTCAAACTGAAAGCCAGAGAGATTCGCGCAAACTGTGCAGACGTTCACCATTACGTATTGTGCCCGCTGAGGTCCCTCAGATGAATGCCCATGGAGCATTTGTGGAGGTTTCCTTCCAGGCCACGGCTAAGAGCCGATGTTTAACGCATTTGGCATTGAACGCAACAACAAGATTGAACAATTGGGTTGTTTGTATGTGTTTTTTTTCTGTGTGCACAGTTGTCGGCATAAAACGCATGGATTGACATTTGTTCCTTTCAATCAGTATGGGATTGAGGCTTCCTTGTGAATGTTGGAGAAGCTCCTCAAATTGGTTTTGCCACATTTTTGGCAGCAACAAGTCTCAAACATACCACCTTTCCTTCCAATCTAAGATTTATGTACGCCAGCTGGACCACAATAGAATTGGATTGAAGACCCTCATGTTTTGAACCAACTAATGTTGTTTTCCTACTTCCATGTTCAGTGTGGATGTTTTCCAATGGATTCTAGTCTAGTGGCGTGAGTGTGTGAACCATGTAGAAGAGACCACCAAACATCAAAACCATTTGTTCCATGATCCCTACGGTGCGTCCATGTCCCTGACATCGCTTACTGATGGAACGCACGCTGAGTGCTGTGTGTTCCTGCCAGGCAGTGTTGGAGCTCGGAACCCGCGGGAAGCCCCGACCGAGCGGTCGGCGGGTGCGTTGGGTGTGTTTGGTGGGTGTGAGAAGTATCTTGACATGTCTCGATATGAACAATCCCAGACCATCCATGCACCCTATGGATCCGCTGCCACCGTACCTCAGGTTCGGTATGTGGGTTCTCGGCAAACACAAATGTATGTAAAACACTTGTTCATACCCAGTATACTTGGATGTTCCGGGAACGACAAGAGCATGAACTGTTGACAACTATAGGATTGACAACTCGATGTCCCATAGACTGGCATTGCATTTTTCTGCATTTTTTAAATAGGTGTTCCATGTCTATTTCGACAAAGCCTTGTGATCATTGGAGTTGGAGTTGCACAGCTGCGAGTGGTTGACATCGCCTCCCCAACTTCAGCAACGTGTGTTCGGCAAAGGTTGACCCGTGGAAGTTCTTTTTTTGGGGTGTGTTGTGGGGTTCGATCCATGCAATGACCCAGAACCAACCATGGCCCATGTTGTTTCGAGAAGATACCGTCTTCGATGGTGAAAAGACCGCAGATCTGTCATCTGATGCACAAAATAAACCCTACAAGTCCAAAGGCTCAGTAAAACCAGGTCGTTTGCTTGCTTGAATAGTGCTTTTGTATGACCAACTCCAGTAAAATGAGGTCATTGACCTGCGGGGAAAGCAAAAGTCTGTGGGTGCACCAGGGGACCGGCCGGGCCCCATGACCTGCTTGGAGACCTGCTTGCGGGTGGAAGAGTGGAGTGGTTGGGCGAACATGGATGAAGGATCCATACCCAAAAGATCCATCCATTCGGAAGCACCTCAAGCTGATCCCCATTTCAGGAGTCTCTCAGTGACCTGGGGAGTGGGAACTAAGTGATCGTCCAATCACTTCAAGAACCAGTTGGTTCACCGAGTCCATTTGGCTCAACACGGTTCCGGCCTAAGATGTCCAACTGCGGATGGCTGGACACAGGTGAGACCCAGATCGCAAGGTAAGCTCTACAGTGCTGAAGACTCACCACTCACCACCGGCACCTGGGGCTCCAAACGCCTGCTCTTCATCCCCTACTGCCTCTTCGATCCGCCACCAGTGGGCGATCCGCCCAGCGATCTGAGCCATGCCATGCTGCCTTGGCGGAAGGTCTCGGAGGCCTGGTTCCGGCATGCCTGGGGTCACCCGCAGCTGCAGGTCCGAGGATGGTGCCTTCGGTGAAGGGAAGCACGGGAAAAGCCCGTGGATTTCGATGGATGGTATGTGGTTTCTGGCATGGAGGATGAGAGGGGAGGGAGTTGAAAGAAACTGGAAGGGTTCAAGCTAAGAGGTTTTTCGGATGCAAGGCACATAAGACAGATGCAGGTGTTGTCGGTGCTTTGTGTGTTTTTGCTTAGATGAGTAACAGAGAGTTGTTTGTTTCCATTGGATTGGATGGATGCACATTGGAGACAAGGGGTGACTTCAGTCTTCAGTGCCTATACGCTGATCGTAGATGATGGTGGGTATCAATGAGGAAAACTATATCAATTTCCTACTACTGACCCGCCAGCATGCAGTTCTTCATCTCAAAAAACATTTGGTGTTCACCACCTCCAAAGCTTGTGTTCTGAAAGCAGTTCAACTTGCTGGGACTTCATCCCAACCAATCCGAATCATGTTGTCTTTTGCAGATCTTCCTAGATAGGACAAATGCATTCCATCCCAGATGAGCCCATGATCAGTCGGTGGGTTGGTCATCAATCAGGTGGCCGTATACGCGGGCCCGAGTGTCCTGCCCTTTCCAAGTTTACTTTTGATGGACATAGTCCAGATACATCGATGTGTCCCGTTCAGGGCATGAAAAATCCCCATGGATCCACATACCGAACCTGAGGTACGGTGATTGGCTGAGGGGCGCTAAGAGGTCACCCAGTTGCCGATGAGGGGTGGCTCCACAGGGAAGAGCAAGGAATACCGGACGACCTTTCACTGTGGATATAAAGCCTACAACCCCCCCACCTGGATAGTTGACCTCCGTATGCGGCATATTATGAATCAGCAAATAAACATCATTAAACAAACCGCTACTTTCTTGCAATGCCGCCTGCACAAAGTCGGGCCAGTCGCGGGGGGCACCCTTTTCATCTCCTTCGTCTTCTCGGCAGCCGCTCGGTCGGGCAGCGGGCCATTTTGGCGCATCGCCGAGGTGCGTCTCGGTGAAAACCTGCCTCACAGTGCTTCTGTGTCTCTCAGAGCCCCTTGGAGAAGCCCATCCTTTCGCGTATCCACACGCCCGGAAAGGGGGTATCAACACGCGTGGGGCTGGCCCCGCGGGCCGGTTCCGGGGGGAGAAGGTCTTCCAGGTTTGCTCCTTTTTTGGGTGCCCGGCAGGCCCCAAGTTGACCCAGAGGGGGGTGAGCAGGAGGACATCCCTCGCGGCTTGAGGTCCACACGTCCTCGGGTGGATTTGGAGGATGGACTTATAATGACTTATATATATATATGGAGGACCAGTCTACTGGAAGGACTCGTGAGTCGATGAGAATGGCGCCACTCCGTCATTTCCACCGCCCAACTCCCTGGACTCTCCGGCGAGTCGATGAAGATGCCGTTCTTCGTTGCGAGGATAGACGTGGACCATCGCCTTTGGATAGGCGGAAAACGGCGGATGCCTTGACGGGACCGGACCGGATAGGATTTGGGTCCATGCATTGGGCACCGCACCGCCTCATTCATTCACCGCCTTGATAAGCCTTGACCTTGTTTCGATGTTTCAACGAGGAACACGTGTCATGCTCTCCCTTATGTCAAGAAGTGGACGTGACTTTTGTTCATGTTCATTTTGGGGCACTATAGAACCACCTTGGCACAGACTAATCACGATCGATCCAACATGTTGGCAGATTCTCATTGATGGACCAAAGGTGGTCACGGAATGGATGGGTGTTTCACGAATCCCGGAGAGACACCATCCAGACAGGGGTTTTCTCTCAAAGGATTTCAAATGTCTTTGAACTTGGTTAGGAAGCAGTCATGCCCCTTTGGCTCCCTGGGTTTTGCCCACCATGGATTTCATAGCCGGAATCCCAAACAACCATTTTGCAGTACAAAACCAGGTCTACCGAACTCTTCGGCATACTCTTTAAATGCTGTCGCTCGGCAGCAACAGCGGAGCCGACCAAACTGCTCGCAGCACCAGTGCTAGGCATTTGCCAATTCATTTGCGCGACGTCGCTCTTCCTGCAGTGGTGGCTAGCGAATCCCACGATGTTCCTGGGTTGCGACTGCGCTGGTCGGCGGTGTCCGACGACTCCAAAGTCCATGGGCCGGGATGTGTGTTTCAAGGAAGGGCCTTACAATCCACAAGGACCCAGACACTCGGAATATCATGGAATACATTTGGGATCATTTGGGATAATGATACTGTATACATTTGGGGTGCTTGACTATAGGGGTCGTCCATGTAGACCAGGTAAATAGTTTCGACTGAGGTTCCTGGTGCGCTCGATGGCGAACTTTGCGAAAGCCTTCCTTTTCCTCCACCTCAGCGTTTGTGGGCGTACGGCCATCTTTGACCCCGCCGCTGTTCTTTCGAAGTGAAAGAAACACGGTGAATACCCGGTGATGCCGTGAGCGGCGTGAGCGTGGGGTGGGGCATGGTGGGGGGTAGGTTCGGGCGCTATGTTCAGTGGTCATTGAGGTCCTGAGGGGAGAAGATTCGGAGAAGATCGATCATGATCACTGAATTGACCGGAGCATTTGGAGAAACAGGTTGATCAAAGAGTTCAGCTTCTGTTGAGCCAGCTTCCCAAAGCTACAGAGGAAGCTCCCAAAAAGAACCAGTCTTCCCAAGAACCAGGAGGTGGATATAGAGGTGGGACCCGGTGGATCATCTCCTTTGGGGGTCTGGGTCAGTGGCAGATGGGTGGGACTGATGTGGATCTGTTTGGGGGAACCAACATCGCTCAGGCCTTGCAGTGTCACGACGATTTCGATGTTTCTTTGGTGTCACGCCTAATCAATCTCACCACCAGAATCCGTTTTCGGACCTCCTCCACCGAAACGCAGGGGGAAGACGGACCACCGAAACCCACATCAGACCTAAACCCTGGTCCATTGGAGATTCGTTGGAAGGGCCATGAACCCTTCCTCCAAGCCATCGTGTTCGGCGCCACCTCCCAGCCGGTGAACCTGGTTCTACCTGAGGCCGCATGCGAGCTGGCGGGCTGGCAGGATGAACGACAACCCTTCCGCAGCTGGGCAGGGGAACATCCGGATAAGATATTGATATGGACGATTGGCGAACATCGGATTCCAACTATCAGTGTCAAAAAAGGTATATCAACCATGCCATTTGGGTTGCAATTTTCCCCATGCGACTGACACTCCCTCGATTTATCGTGACGTTCTTGAACGGCATGGCCCCGAAAGAATGATTATTTTCCGAATGCCCAGACAAGTGTTTCTTTTTTGCACTTCCATGACCAGCACCGCCCAGCTTTGGATGGATTGATTATTGGAAAAGACAGAGCCAGAAGATTAGAAATTATATACCACCCGACCTGGCTGGAACTGTCAAGTTTCACGAGGTTTGGGATGCTTGGGGCCAAGTGCGATTTGCAATAATGTGTAGTTTTGAAGACGCTGGGTGAGGTTCAATTTGTTGGTGTAGCGCCAGCATTTCATTTGGAACCTTACAACATGTTTGGCACAAAGACCAAACAAAAGAAGGTCATCAATGTTGGCATGGTCTCTCTAGAATATGATTGTATGACTGATTACATAATGAACCACTATTAAACTGGTTGAAAAGAATCAAGCAAGAAAGACTTTGGACCACAAAGTCACATCAGCTGGCCTAACTATTAAAACCAATCTGAGATAAAGGAACCCATGTTTGAACGCAGGTGAACGAGAATCCGGTAGACATAGGAGACAACATTGCAAACAAAAGAAACCATGTCAGCAACGTTGGACGTATACAAGCAAAACCAGTGGGAACCAAGCTGTGAAGACAGCTTGGGGCAATAGGCAAAAGCAGTGGGAGCAAACCACAAGGTTGGATGGCGGAAACAAATACTGTAGTCGAAAGTAACACCAAAAACCAAGGTTTCAGTCGGGATTGCAAAAGTTTCGGTCAATCGAGGCTGCAAACTGAAACAGCCGGGAAACAGTCGGGAAACAGTCGGAAACAGTCGGGAAACAGTCGGAAACAGTCGGGAAGCAGTCGGAACACAGTCGCAAATGTGTGGAACACCTGAGGAAGTATAAAACCCCCCCATGCAAGGAATTAGTATTCGCATGTCCGTTTTTCTGGGAGCATCTGCAAACCACTGTAAAACGATAAGGAAGAAAAAAACGATAACCCCCGATGATTGTTGTGGAAATCCCTTGGCATGTTTCTATTTGTGTTTTTAGGCTTGTGTCCTCACAGAGGGAACAACAAGGAGTGTCTTTGTTTAGTCAGGTCACCCTGCACAGGAAAGTGGTTTCATTGGTTGATTCACTGTTTGCAGATATATGAGTGCTCAGGCCTTTTGATCTGATCATTGTGTGTGCTTGCCATGGAGCCCTGGCAAGTAGAGACCAGATTCAAGGAAACGGATGGTAAGCCCTTCAAGGCTTGGATTTTCAACTTTGGTGATGGAAAGAAAAAGACCTTCTACAGCCGGATCCAAGCAGACCGGTGGGCAACGGCCAATGACCATCAGTTGCCTCCTGAGATCACGAAAAAAGCAAAGACGACAAAGGACCGGTGGCAGAGTGATTCAGCATGAGTTTTGGTCACCTTCTCAACCACGCCACCAGGGGAAATATAGTTTCTGACTGCCATTGGAGGAATTCTTTTACCAAAAGCTTGTTTACTTGGCATTTGTTGTGGTCGAGTCGGAACCCTCTGCAGGAGGACAAGCAGTCACTTCCAGCCACTTTGATTTGTTCATCATGAGGTTCTTCTTTTTCCTTGGCACTCTCCTGAAAGAAGTGTTTTCCCCAAAGGTCACCGGTGTCCCTCTCATCGCAAAGGCCCGGCAAGATCATCCAGCTCCATCAGAGCCTTGTGCCACAGAAGTGGTGACACCACAGAAGCGCAAGGCAGAGAACCTAGAGCGCTCGCCCCCGAAGACTAGTTCCCAGGACTTGGACCTGAAACTTCACTAAGCTGTTTGAAAGGCCCCCCTAATATGTGATAGACGGACGGCTTGGCAGCCTGTTTTGTTGGCATCCCTGGAGGACCTTGAGCTCGAGCTCACTGACTCTCAGAGGGCTTCGCTTGACCTTTTGAGCCGGAAAGTGGAATGCGGAAACAAAGCTCGCATGAATTTTTCGAGGACAGGTACTCCCCACTGCCGGGTGTGCAACGCCACCCGGCACTCAGTCAAATGGGCCGAGATGAGGGTTTCGGAGAGGTCCAAGGATTCGATTCCTCGGGGCGCAATTTGCTATTGTTGCGTGCGTGCAGTCTTAGCCATGGGTGTTCGCACCAGGTCTCTCGAAGTTTGGACCAAAGCTGGACTGCTGCACATATGGCAGGCAAACTCGAGACTGCAGCGCCAGAAGCTGCAGCAATACGAAGGGGACACTTGCTCCTGCAGTAAGTGTGTGTAGGCGGTCTTTCTTGCAGCAATCGGGGGAAATCGATTGTGGCAAGTCACAGAAGCCTGAGGCAGAGCTCCCGGGAAAAGGTTTGAGCCGCGCACTCTCTCAGCCCATCTTCATTGTTTTTCACTCTCCCCTTGTTTCGTAGATATCCAGCGCTTTTTTTTTTGCAGCAAGTCAGCTGATCCACTACAAAGCAGAGCCACATCAACCCATGCATAACTGCATAACAAACGAAACGACAGCAAGAAGACGCCCATACCGGGCACGCGGATGTGCGAAAGCCTCTCAGAATATCTTGTTGCGAACTAGTCAAGGGGGCAGCCAGTGGTCTTTGAGCCACTCCACATGTAAAAGGGTTACCGGCAAAGTCAAAGTGGTGTGAAGAAAACGCGTGCACACAACCTACAGCTGAGGCTTGTGATGAGAAATCCTCATTTTGTGGATAGAGTCTAGAAGAACTATTTCTTGATCCCAGTGTTTGAACTTAAGGCTTGGAGCAGGGCTTTGATCCATAGGGGTTGGATCAGGTCACCAGTCTGCTTGATCCATA